GGGGTTGTGGCATATGCTAATGAGTTATGCTAATGAGTTCCCCTAGCTCTTTTTCTACGAAACGACCCCTGCCACTGGTTCATCAAGGGGTCAGCCTGGTCTACTCAAACTGGCAGCAGCTCTCCAGGGTCTCATGTGGTGGAGAGCAGCGGACTCTAATCCGGAGAACCAGGAAGGTTTGATTTCCCCACTCCTCCTCTCCCTGAAGCCTGCTGGGTGACACTGGGCCAGTCACATTTTTCTCAGAGCTCTCTCAGTCCCACCTACCTCACAAGCAATGTTCCTTCTAAGCCGAGTTAGTGTGAGCTAGCTCACAATTTTTTAGCCTCCGCCTCACACATTTTTGTCTTAGCTCAGGAAGGGTGGCTCCAGAGCAAACCAATTTATGCAGCCGCCAAATTGCTTGCTCATAACTTTAATGCCAGTGGCTCACAAAGCAGAATTTTTGCTCACAAGACTCCACAGCTTTGAGGGAGCGTTACTCACGAGCTGACTGTGTTGTGGGGAGAGGAAAGGACGGTGATTGTAAGCCATTTTGAGACTTCTTGGGGAAGAGAAAAGTGGGGTATTAAAACCAACTCTTCTTCATGCTGAGGTCTTTCACATCACCTCCTACCTGATCCTTTAACAGAAGTTGCCAGGGATTGGACTTGGAACCTTCTGGATGCTAAGCAGATGCTGTACCACTGAGCTATGGTATATCAACTATACAGCTTATGCGTCAATTTTAACCCAGATTGTAACAGTGCTTTTTAACTTTTTATCAGCGTTTCACTGTATTCTGTATTTTGTAACGGCCAATGGCTTTCTACAATAAACCTCTACCTACCTATACAGCTTATAAGGCAGAAAGTTCTGCATTCTCCGCAGGGTCCCCCATCCCTTTGACGGCCCCTATTCCAAGCGCATTCCAATCCCCATTCAGGACATGTGCAGAACAGTCTTATTATGAGCAAGGTCAGGTACAGTTGCCTACCGATTTCCCACAAGCGCTGCTCCACGCTCGCTCTTCCCTTTTGCCCCGATGGTACGTGTCAATTTCACACAAGCTGCTGTGCGGCCACATTTTGCCCTGGAACTTCGCGCAATTTCCCCCGCGTCTACTCAGTCCTCAAAAAACAGAAGAGTAGAACGTTTTTTTTTAAAAAAAACATCATAGGTGTGATTTGCACCACGAAGAAGCAAATCAAAACATGGATTTTTCAGGGTGAAACAAATGAGAAATTCAGGATTGTCCCTCACTGAAATGGGTTTCTATAGGATACCTTTCCACTGACTAGGGCCTGATTTAAATTAATAAGAGAACCTGTCCTTGGACTTTCTCCCTTAGGCAATCAATTGCCTCAGGACATTTCTGAGGATCAAGCCTTTCAGCATTTGCAGTGGCAGGGAATCATATGACTGTTGTCTTGGCCAGCGTGATTTTGAAGACAATAACGTTATAAAGTATTTGTTACCACTGCTTAGACGCAGCCTGGCGTAGGTGGGTGCGAGGTATGAGGGGAGTTGTTTGGTGCTTAATTAAATTGGTTGTTATATCACGTCTCAAAGCGTCTGTGTTATTACCACCACCACCCAATAACCAAACTGACATGCTAACATATGAGGTCTCACTCCCAAAACCTCATTTGAAAAGAATAACCATTTCCCCCCCTCGGCTTGCCTCCTGAGCTAACAGATGGATCAGCCTGGCTTCACCTAGCAGTTTCATCAAATGTCTGGTTAAACAGAGAAAGCAATATATAGCGGGGGGTTTTAAACAAAAACAAAAGCTCCAACTCCCAGCACAAAGAATAATGGCTTGCCGAGACCAGATTTAAATGGGAGACATTGCCTTACAAAGCTAGATCTGACCACACCCTGACAAGATTCATTACCAGAAACGTTTCAGCAGTAAGTGCCTTTAAAAGATTGGGGGGGGGGGAGCTATAGCAGCAGCCAATTTTTATCAGAGAAGGAGCTGCCCTGTCTGTTATGAAGAAGAAGAAGAAGAGGAGAAGAGATTGGATTTATACCCCGCCCTTCACTTGGAGTCTCAGAGCGGCTTACAAACTCCTTTCCCTTCCCCTCCCCACAACAGACACCCTGTGAGGTGGGTGGGGCTGAGAGAACTCTGACACAAACTGCTCTTTTTCAAGGACAGCTGTGCCAGAGCTTGTGACTGACCCAAGGTCACATCGGCAGGTGCAAGTGGAGGCGTGGGGAATCAAACCCGGTTCTCCCAGATTAGAGTCCGCACACTTAACCACTACACCAAACTGGGTCTGGGAAGGTAAATTTCATACAGGATAGGCCTACAGTGAGGTGGTCTTGGTGGCTGTTCCTCAGTTTTGGACCACTTTCCCCTCCAAAGCAGGTCCAGAGAGCTTGGGGCCTGAGGAGGAGAAAACCGAACGGGCTCCCCTCTCCCATTCATCGCTATAGGACCCATAGCACTCCTATACCGCTACACCCTCCCCACTATCTGGCTGTCCCAGAACTTCCTACTGGGTTGTAACCATGGCTCAGAATTGTTTGCTTCCTACACCAAGACGACCCACTCAGCAAACTGACAAGGCCCATCCGAGGGGGCCAGTTTGCTGGGTTCCTCTGAAGACCAGCAAATTATCAGTTATTTCTTCTTACCATCGTGGAGTTTTTGGGGAGAGGGAGGGACTTTGAGTCAGACTTTCTCTCTCTGCCACCCAAATGCCTTAAGGCTTTTTCAGTTTCCCCCCAAAAGGGAAGAGGCTGTAACTGAAGGGCAGAGCTGTGAGTCTAAGGTTCAGTCTTCAATCAAAGGGGCACTCCAGGGGAAGTGACCAATGTTCCCTCTAAGCTGTGGGGGTCACATGAGCAAAAATTCTACTTTGTGAGCTACTGGCATTAAAGCTGTGATGGAGTGATTTGGCTACTGCGTAAACTAGTTTGCTCTGGAGCCCTCCTTCCTGAGCCAAGACAAAAATGTGTGAGCTGAAGGCTAAAAAACTGTGAGCTAGCTCACGGTAACTCAGGTGAGAGGGAACACTGGAAGTGACACCGTGTTACGGAATTCAACCTTTCCAGGAACGCAATACGGATTGTCTACATTAGATAAACGTATTCATAGAAATACAGCCATTGCCGTGAATAGGGCAGCCCCCACTCAGCACTGCCTCCTAAGGCCACTAGTAGTTACAACAGAGCAGACCAGTGGTCCGTCTGCTCTAGCACCTTGCTTCCAAGAATGGCCAGTGACCACAGGGAAGCCTCCAAGTAGGGCCTGCTTGCAACAGCCCTCCCCGGCAACAGAGGCCCCACTCTGCTGTCATGGCCAGCGGCCAACGAGAAGAGCCCTCGTCCCTTTTGCTCTCAAGTCACAGCTCATTAATGGCATCCCCAAGGAGTTTTCAAGGCAAGAGATATTCAGAGGTGGCTTGCCCTTTTCTGCCTCTGCGTTGCAACTCTGGGCTTCTTTAGTGGTCTCCCATCTCACCAGGGCTGACCCTGCTTAGCTTCTGAGATCTGATGAGATCAGGCTAGCTTGGGCTATCCAGCAAAGCCCCTTTCCACCGATCTAAACAGTAGTGGGCCATTTGCTTTTGACATGAAGCCTTTGTCTCCCTCCGCATCTATGATAGATTTCACTTTGCAGCTGAAAACAGGTGGCTGGCTGGAGGAGGAAGGGCAGAAGAAACCCTCTTTGCTGAAAATGCATCGACAGGTACAATAGTATCACGCTTGTGGGAGTGAAAGAGCAGCGAGGAAACAGAAATAGCTTAGAGTGACAGCTCTCTCTCTCTCTCTCTGGTAACTGTCCTTGTTTACCATCCTACATCTCCAGCTCTGCACAGTGAAGGAGTGAGCAAACGGATGGATGCACCGATTGGAAAGGGGGGGGGGGACGACGACAACCCTTTTAGAGCCGGAACCACCATGTCGGTGTAGCATCGCAATCATCTGGCACCATCTAGGGCTCATTTCAGGAAGCACAGAGAGAATACGGAGCCCGCAAGCCCGCACATGGATTTTGTGCAATTTCTTTGGGCTTGAACAATAGTCAAGTGGTTAAGCGTCAGACGAGGATCTGCAAGACACAGGTTCGAATCCCCGCTCTGCCATGGAAGCTCACTGGGTGGCCTTGAGCCAGTCACACATTCTCAGCCTAATCTACCTCACAGGGTGGTTGTGACGACGAAGTGGATGAATGATGTAAGTCACTTTGGGTGAGAAAGGCGATGTATAAATGCAGCTATACCTGTACTTAGCAAACAGCTCAATTAATATTAAAGGCATACTTCAGGGATGCTTAAAGTAATTTGCTGGTCTGTAGTGGAACCCCCCCCCCCAAAACCGGCCCTCAGATGGGTCCTGTCAGTCTGCTGAATAGGCCAGCTTGCTGTAGGAAGCACACAGTTCTGAGCCATGGGTACAACTCACTGGGAAGTTCTGGGGCAACCACATAGCACTACTATGGAACACCTTTCCCTTCAAAGCAGATCCAGAGAGCTTGGTCCCCAGGGAGAAAATCAAACAGCCTCCCCTCTCCCACCCACTGTTACGGGCCCCAATCCTTTGGGAAGCGTTCCTAGGCAGTTACAGTCTCACTACTATGCGGAGCAGCACTCCCTTGGCAACTGGCTGTGTGGCTCTGAAAGTAAAATAAAGGGCAAGTAAACATTCATTTCCATGGTGCCTGGCTATCAGGTTTAGAGCACTCCATTCAGGACAGATGATGATTGGAAAGGTTCCATACCAGCTCCCTCCAGTGGATGGTGATAGTGCTGCTGGACTTTTCATTATAGGATGGCAGGGGAGCAGGGCAAGGATTTCAGGGCATGGAGAGAAGGGCCTTTCATGCCACTCGCAAAGCTCCATGGCACCTTTCTACCCTCTACCCTTCTTGCCATTCATCTACCTTAGGGAGCTCAGTGCTCTTCCCTCTGTTCAACCTGCTCATCCCTTGCCCTCTCTGTCACTCCATGCCAAAACGTGTGAACATCCTTGAACCCAGAAACGCACAAAGCAAAACAGATGCCAGTTTAATCTATATCATTTATTTTTTGCACAGAATCTGAAGTGTCTTCACACAGAACTGGAGATTTAAAATTTGTCCTGTGCAAAACACACATGCAACACTGGTGACACACAGTTCAAAAGGGATCGTGAGGACCAGAAACACCATTTTGTTAATTCTTGTATGGGAAACACAAGGAGAGTAACACACAATTGTGTACGTGTGAATTCTCAATTGAGAAGAACCTGTATTTTGGCATCATGTCCACCAAAGTTACAGCAAGCGGTCCAAAGATCAGAAGCAGCCAGAGTTTCAGAAGCTCTTTTTTGATTCTCAGCTAATACGGCTCAACTCAGTCTGAAGTTGCAGGGAGAGAACGCAAGCCACTGAATACCAGACAACTCCAGGATCCTCTGTGGGGCTTCACAGCAACAGTCAAAGAACACTCCTTTGTAGGAAGGATCGTTTCCAAGGACTTTTTAGATGGCAACGCTCAGCTGTTATATAAAGGCACGACTCTCGTGATTTCTTGTCTACAAATCGGGCACTTGGGGGGCCTCGGGAGTGCTTGGTAGCATTTGTTGCATGAGCACACGTGCCCACACTCGAGGAAGACACAAGACCGGGTGTTGCTCAGGCAGATGACACAAGCGTTGCTGGTTGCATCACCGCCGGCCGCGCTCATCTCACTCATCTGCCGCAGGCGCTGCTTCTCCTGGTGGCGGCGGTACTGCCTGTGCAGGAGGAAGAGGAACAAGGCGCAGGTAGCGAAGCCGAAAACAGCTGTCAGGATCTTCCAGAGCCGGACGTGGGATTCTTGCTTCTGAAGCAAGGAGTCGAAATCCTGGCTGCTCAAGTAGTACCGCATCCCTTGCTTGGGGGGTTGCAGTTTGATGGCGTGACTGTCCAAGACCAATTCTCCCACACCAGTGAGCACTGTCCCCACTGTCAGCATCTCTTCCGTCTCCTGGATGCCTTTGGGACGCTCCCCGCTGATGTAATGGCCGATCACGTCCGTGAAGGACTGCACAGAGGGGTGGAATTTCTCGTAAACCGTCTCTAAGCTCAGTTCGGAGGCATCCAGGGGCTTCATCACCCTCACGGCGACGTCAGTGCCGCCTTCCTGGGGCACCAGATCAAAGGCCGCTGTGTTTGTTCTCTGGTGAATGATCTTTTCGTAATTGCTCCTGGGGAACAAGGAGCCGAGAAAGAAGTCAAGCTGGTGGCAGAAGGGGCACAAAGGTTTCCCTGTTAGTTGTACCACCTGCTGCATCGACGCAGCCTCACAGCTGCACACAATATTTATGTACATTATTTTTATTGATTTATATTATTTATAGTCCGCCTGTTTGACTTGGACTCAAAGCAGACTACACAGAATGAATTAATATGATCTACGGATGGGACATTCAATGAACAATGCAATAGGATTAGGGTTGTAGAACCAGTCAGAAGTCTAAAAACAGAACTGAAGCAAAGCATAAGTATTAATATGACATATTAAATGATGCAGAATTCCATAGCAGGATCCTAACTTCAGGAAACTATACACAGTAGTATAGACCATACACCCCTAACAGTTTTTCCAAGTAACTTTGTGAATCACTTAGTACAGTGCAACTCTGTTGCCTGTGCAGTTTTGCTGTGTGCAGAATGCTCCTTCGCTGTCTTTAAAGACACTGAACGAGCAAACAGAAACAGAGAGGCAACCTGCGCATAACACTTAAACCAGTAAACAACCAAGCTATTCAACAAGTGTGAATATGCGTGTAGGGATGTGTCCCTTCCTCGACTTCCTGCCTAGACTGCCTGCAGGTTTCATGTGATTCCTCCCATTTCCACCATGCGCTCCACCTCAGCTCAATCAGCTGCAGTCATCTCAATGAACTGTAAAGTGGCAACATGGACTCTGATGAGGACTATAAGAGGGCAGATTACATGGGGCAGGGCTGCACCTAATGTAGCATGTTGTTCCAACGGCTACCAACCGGTGCACGCAACTCTGGGTTCTGAAAATGTTGCATCCAACAACCTCATCTTCACCCAGTACACAAAACGGTACCCAGCATACTCCAGGGTCTCCCCTGCTTTCTCTGATCACTGCCTCACCCACTCAAGCCCATGCAACCAGTGGACGACACATCCTCCCTTGCCTGTTTGCAAGCCTAAGAGCACACAGTTACCTACCAGAGGTGGGTGGTCCGGTTCCACACCATCTTATGCTCCTGCAACGTCAGCCGCTGAACCACTCCCTTGCAGTTTTCCACAAACTGGCTGTTGAGGGTTTCCTTAACGGATCGCACAACACCTATCCAGTTGAGGGGGAAATTGACACCCAAAACCAGCTGAAATGTACAGCAGGAAAATCCCTATCATGTTACACAGCAGCAAACTCAGCAGACAGAACAATCCTCGAGCATTATCGGCAAGCTGAAGGACTGGGAGTAATGTGTGATGGGATTCTGCTGAAGAAGATCAAAGGTCCAGATGGTCCTTGTTTCCATTCAGCCTACTGGGGTTGGGGGTGAGACTGGGGTTAGTGTGTGAGGAACAGGCTCTTTTCTATTCTGCCATCAGTGGGCAGTGTCCCTACAGGACTCAGTTTCAGAATGTTGGAATTTAGAGCCAGGTTGGTGCTAGGACCTTGATTTTAAAGCCATCAGTTCTACAGAAAAAATTGCCTTATGGGGCTGGGGGAAGGTAAGGAGCAAGCTCATAACTGCCAGCAGCATTTCACAAAGAAAACTGGAAACTAAACAGTGTGCACTTTACTCTTTCTATGATCATTCCTCACCCTCTATGAACCAGACCCTGACCCCAAACCATCTCCAAGCCACCAGGCACCTCCTCCAAAGAACTACATGTCCCACGTGGCTTTTATTTTTGAGCCAGAATGCAGCAGAATGCTTTCTGGTTCAACACTAACTTACATATACATAAATCACATAAGTTCCAGTGATTCAAGAGAAACCACAACTCCTGAATCCTCTCCCTAATGAAGCACCAATGAGGCTCTCTGACCCTGTGGCCAGATTTTCCGCAAAGTCTTAAAATATTGCAGGTCTCCCCTCCATCAATCGTGCGGCTTTGGCTGTTTGTGGATTTGGAACTGTTTGTTATGTGCAGCAAAAATCTCTTGGAGCTGTTAGTTACGTCTACGTCTACTGCAAGGCAGATAAAACTGAAATTGATTGAGGTTGCGATCTCCCACCTACTGATAACCAGTCATACCTGGTTACATCAATGGGCCGGATTCTCCCTACAGCAAGCATGACTACCGATTTTATATATTTTATATATGCTTTAATGTGTTTTAAATTTTATAGTATTTATTAAAATGTTGTAACCCACCCTGAGCCTGTTTATGGGATGGGCAGGATATAAATGCGAAAAATAAATAAATAAAAATAAATCAAGAGAGGCCAATGGTTTTCCATCCTTGGAGACCCGCTCAGGTCAGAGCCTCTTCCAAAATTCTTCTTGCATGACATTTCTGTTCGGTTTGTCTTTGGATGTACAGCTTTCAGATGAGCAATGAACTCTGAATACATTTTTCGCTGAGTGATTGTTGATGGGCTGTTGTATGCTTTACACTGCATATTATTCCATAACCCACCCTGACAGAGGCAGCAGGGCTAGCAGAACAACGGTAAATCAGAAATCACCCCATGGCTACCCAAAGACTCTACCTTCTATCACTGCATAAGGGACGCACTTCCCAGGCGCTTCCATAAGAATACTTTTCAGGTCCTGGTCTAGGGTGACCTTTTTGGCTCCCTAGAGAAGCAAGAGAACACCAGCAAGAGTCTCAGTTAAGCAAGTAACAGCAGAAGAAGCACAACACAGTG